CAAAAACGGCTAAAGGACCCTGTTCCTAAAAAAGCCACAAAAAAGCAGTCTCACACTTCTCCACAGCGAGAATCCCCTAGAAAAAAGCGATCTCCGGCCACAAAATCTGCTCTGGTACCAATGGCACCAAGAGCGCCAGACCGCGAGGCACAAGGACCGTCTCGTACCGAGATGTCCCAAGGAGCAAAAGACCCGGTGAGGCCTAGCTCTCATGGAGCACACATACAGACCAAAACTTAGCCTCCTACCTCAGCACGGAGGGAACCTAAGAAAACCCAGGCACCGAGCAGCACAATGGTGCCACCTGCTGCACCAATGCAATGCAGTAAGTCTGCGGCATCGGCAAGGCTCATGCTGATTCCCAGCCAGAGCTTGCCTCCCACTTCGGTACCGAGCCTCCCCGTGCCGCAACAGTTTTTCAGCCAGGTGGACCTCCTCATCCCTTCTACTCCAGGAACTCCGCTTTTCGGCACCTGCAGCACCCCAGTCAGACCAGGGCCAAGCTTTAATACTACCCCTGCTGGCTCAGCCCCATCTCTTTCCAGAGATGAAGAGGAAGAAGTAGAAGCAGGGATGTACACCCCTCACCATTCCTCGCCCAAACATGGACCCTCACGGCAGCAGAGCACAGCTTGGCAACCCCCACAGTGGGTGCCCCCTCCCATGGCCTCCCACCAAACTGGGTATATTGGAACCCATGGGTGTTATACAGGGTCCAGAACATTAAGCCCTCCAACCCACCCAGGTCCAGGACACCACAATCATCTTCGCCTTCTACCCCAGCTTCCCCAGAAGTGCTGGAGAAGGAAGCCGAAGAACCTGAAGATAGGCCAGAGGGTGAAACCCTCCCACCTACCCACATTTTCCTTTAGTCTCTTGACGAAATAATAATGCCGCCTCCCACGACATCGGGAGATGACTTCAAATCTTTTCAGGATCTGTTTCAATGAGTAGCCGACTCCCTTTATATATCACTGGCAGAGCTACCAAAGACACAGCATAAGCTGACAGATATACTTCAAGCTTCTCCAGCAGCCAAAATAGCTCTACCCATTAATGCTGCCATCATGGACCCTACAAAAACTGTCTGGCAGACGCCAGCCACAGCTCCACCTTCTTGTAAAAGATCTGACAAGAAGTACTATGTACCGGCTAATGGAGCTGAGTTTTTGTTTACGTACCCTATCCCAAACTCATTGGTGGTAGAGGCAGTTAATCAAAAGGGGAAGCAACATCAGGCCAGAACCACCCCGTATGATAAAGACTGGAAACGGCTAGACCTCTTTGGCAGGAAAGCCTATTCATTGGCGACCCTCCAATTTCGCAGAGCCAACTATTCCACCCTACTAGACAATACACACACAATGTTTTTTTCAGATGTCAACTTTTATTGAACACCTTCCAGCAGATAAAAAAAGAATAATATAAAGCCAACATAACAGAGGGTTCCCTCATTTCCTGAACGGCTCTGAAGGCTTCTCTAGATTCTGCTGACACGGCGGCCCGATCCATCACCACATGCGTCATCATGCGTAGGACTTCCTGGCTCCATCTCTCTGGCTTCCCCAGGGAAGTTCAGGCTACGGTAAAGGACCTACCTTTCGAAGGCCAAAAATCGTTCACAGAGAGTACAGCTGTATCCTTACACACCTTGAAGGATTCCCGTGCAACATTAAAGACTCTGGGAATATATGTCCCTGTGAACAAAAAGAAACAGGGCAGATTCTATAACCAGTGATTCTACACTGCCCTATACACCCAGCCTCAAAGACATTATTACCAGTGCCACAAGCAGCGCCAGTAGAATTGCCAACAAACACAAGAGCAGTTGTCTATGTCTCAACCATCCACTTCCAGGCAAACGTTTTGAAGTGTTGGTCGAGGACATGAGGGCCCCACCTTCTCCAATTCCAGGGTCACATTTAATCTCCAGCCCATTTGGGGACTGCCTTACGCCTTTCTACCCCGTCTGAAAAACCATCACCTCAGACAAGTGGGTCCTGGAAATACAGAAGGGCTATTCCATCCCCTTTGTCTCTATTCCACTACCCTTCCCTGTTTTTCTTCAGGGACCCCCTTATGAGCACCTGTTACAGCAGGAAATAAACCATCTCCTGCAATTAGGTGCCGTGGAGCCTGTATCAATGCAGCACAGGGGCAGGGGGGTTTATTCACATTACTGTCTCACTCAGAAGAAAATAGGCAGATGGAGGCCCATCCTGGACTTGTGCAAACTAAACAAGTTCTTGAGAACACAATGCTTGAAGATGGTAACTCTAGCAACCATAATTCCGGCATTGGAGAAAGGAGATTGGCTCTCGGTCCTCATCCTATAGAACACTTACTTTCATGTCACACTAACTTTCACGTCACTATCCACCCGGTGCATAGGTGGTTCCTCCAATTCACTCTTGGGAACCTGCATTACCAATACAAGGTACTCCCCTTTGGCCTATTCTCGACCCAAAGAGTATTTTCCAAAGTGCTCACCATTGCAGAAGCACATCTTCGCAGCAGGGTGTGATAATCTTTCCCTACCTAGATGACTCCCTGTTGAAAGCACCAGCATACCAGGAGGTAGTCCACGCCACTCACACCACTATAACCCTGTTTACAAACCTAGGGGTTACAAATCAATCTGTAGAAATCCACCCTGATTCCAACCCAACAACTGGACTTTATAGGGGCACACCTTGACTGTATCAAGGCATCAGCACGGCTACCCCAACAATGGTTCCTTACCTAAACAAACCTAATTACAACAGTGAGACACAGCCCACGACTGCCAGCAAGTGCCTACAACTTCTAGGGCACATGCCAGCTACGACATTTGTGATGAAACATGCCAAGCTTCATATGAGATGTCTACCTGGCTACACACTGGCTATATTCCTCACAGGCACTCGATCAACAGACATCTTACAATGCCCAGCAGAGTGAAAGACTCGCTCACATGGTGGCTGCTCTTGTGGCTTCCTTTGGCTTCCCCATCAGAAAGTCATTTTTCTGCAGAGAAGCAAAGAAAATCTGCAGGGGAAATAAATTCTGCGCATGCGCAGTGGCTCAGAATTTCCCCAGAATTATAGGATGCACTTACTTCATATGCTTGTGGAAGCAAGAAATCCTGTTGCAGGGTGAATCTCTGGGACTTGGGGAGATCTGTGGAGTGCATGAGGTAGCAAGGGTGGAGTGTTGTTTGGTTCCTTTAGTCTTTTCCCGTGATCTCATTGTACTGCACAGTTCTCGCACTGCCCCGGGCATTGTGACAATAGCTGGCTGTTTCTTATCTTCCAAGAATATTTCCTACCAGGAGTGGCTTGGCTGGCTCCTGGCTCAGTTTGTGTGGCAGCCGACACTGGCTGGGATTAGCTAGCTGTGGCACACGCAGTGCACTGGTGGCTGGTGCCCATTGTTATCCATGTGGGCTGCAGGTCTCAGTCTCCCGTCACTTTGGGTTTTAAAGAGGGGGAAAGCTGGGAATCTGTTGGGGAAGGGGGGCTGTCACAGGGAAGTGTTTTGCTGGAGATGGGGGCTGGCCGTTATAATCGGCTGCTGGTGCAAACTTCCACCACTTTTTGCTGTTTTCTTATTCCCACATGGCTCTTTCCAGGCATTCTTCCAAATGAATGATCGTAGTTAAACAGAGGTCCGAGGGGAGCCCTCTTTTACCAGAGTCCATTGAACAACTTCTGAGCTTGCTTCCTGAGGGCAGAGCTCCCAGTATCTTGGTACAGGAGGCTGCTAACAGAGGCTGGCTCTTGGGTGTGAGCCTTTAGCCAGAGCAGGGGCAGATGCCCAGTGATGTGGTAGGTGGTTGAGCGGAGCAGCCTGCCCCAGGTGAGAGGGAAGTCTGAATTTCTACACAGG